ACACCGGTGCGACGGTGCTGCTGCTGACGGACCACAGGTTGGGGTACTGGCTGCAAAGCGGTGAAGAAAACGGGTCAGCAGCGACGCTCGTGCCTGCTCGGGTCACGACACTGCTCCCGGGCTGGGTCCGTGTCCCGGGGACAGGGAATCCCACCAGGGATCTCCCAGCCACTGTGGGGTAGGAAGGGTCCCAGACAAGGAGGTCACATTCACGGCCCCCCACCCATAAATCTAGATCCAGCGCTGCGTGTGCTAGCAGAGCTTCAGCCAAGCTGAGGAACGACCAGGCTGGCCTGAAGAATGCAGAGGGCTGAGCTCTGACTCCTGAGCCACGCCATGTCCTTTCCTCGGGGAATCTTAGAATCATAGAATCGTTAAGGTTGGAAAAGACCTTTAAGGTCACAAAGTCCAACCATCAACCCAACACCACCACGCCTGCTAAACCATGTCCTGAAGTGCCACATCCACAAGTTTTTGAGGCCTTGCACGGATGGGGACTCCACCACTGCGCTGGGCAGCCTGGTCCAATGCCTGACCACTCTTGCAGTGAAGACATTTCTCCCGATATCCAACCTGAACCTCCCCTGACTCAACTTGACGCCATGGCCCCAAGCCACACGATGGAGGTGGCTGGAGACAGCGGCTGTTGGACCCTGTTTGAACCCACTGCCGTGAGTCTGTCAAAGCCCTAACCCGCCCTGAGTGCCTCTGTACTCAGAATATCTTCTCTGGAGATATTCAAGACCTGCCTGGACAAGGTCCTGTGCAGCCTGCTGTAGGTGACCCTGCTTCGGCAGAGGGTTGGGCTGGGTGACCCCAAACGGTCACTTCCAACCCCGTTTTTTTTATTCTGTGATTCTGTGATTCTGTGGATGCCTCCAGACAGCAGCACAGCCCTCCTAGGACCTTGTTCATCACCTCCTGTCAGCAGGGGAAGAGCTCGATCGGTGGCTGCAGATGGCATGAACACTACAGAAAGGGCTTCTTAAGAGGAAGCAAAGCCTTGCCAGGACCCTGCAGCCTCCACTCTCTCGCTCTCCTCTGGGTACGTAGAGACATGCACACAGATGTGTAAACACACGTGTGAATTAAAAGAAACGAGCTGATTCAAGAGAAACTCTACGAGGAGAAGTTCAGCCCTGCTGTGTGATCCTACACAGTGCTTTCCACCTATCGATCCCAAGCAGTTTAGCAAAAAACGTAAATATTCTTCTTACTTCACACATAGGGGCTTAGACAAAAGGGATGGCAGAAATGCCTGCCTTGAGGTCCCACAGTCCCAGTTGTACTGGTTTTGTCTACTGGACAACCCCTAGTGCAGCAGCTGAAACTCGGTGGAGTGTGCAACGGGTAGTAGTACGTACTCCGATCGATAGCGAAGTGTCTGTCCTACGAGGAGAGGCTGAGGGAGCTGGGCTTGTTCAGCCTGGAGAAGAGAAGGCTGAGAGGGGACCTAATATATGCTTACAAATATCTGCAGGGTGGGTGCCAGGAGGACAGGGCCAAGCTCTTTTCAGTAGTGCCCAGCGACAGGACAAGGGGCAACGGGCACAAACTGAAGCAGAGGAAG